TATGTCTTGTTTCTGATCCTAGTCAGTGTTCAGTTTCTTCACACTCACCCTTAGGTGTGTCTGATCATGGTTTGGTCTCTCTAAAACTATTATCTTATTCTTCTTTACCATTAGAATCCCCCTATCATCGTACATCTTACAACTACCTTAAAGCTGACTGGGACTCTTTTCGTGACTTTCTTCGTGATGGCCACTGGGTAGAAATCTTTCGTCTCCCTGTTGACAAATGTGCTTCTTACATAACTTCGTGGATTCAGGCTGGCATGGAATCCTTTATTCCCTCTAGACGATTCCAGGTCAAGCCTTACTCTTCTCCATGGTTTTCCTCAGATTGTGCTGCTGCAATTGCCAATCAAAACCATTTCTTTCATATCTATCAGCAAAACAATTCACCAGAAAACAGACGTCTCTTTATTACTGCTTTGTCTAACGCCAAAACCCGCTATTCTCAGATCATGAAATCTTGTATTTCATCACAAAAATTAGGCTCCCGTGACTTCTGGAGAATCTTTAATAGTATCAATAATAAGGGCAAGTCTGTAATTCCACCTCTTTTATATGGTTCAGACTTTGTCACCTCACCTAAAGACAAAGCTGAATTGTTTGCCAAGAACTTTTCATCAATATCATCTCTTGATGCCACTAGTTGCGTTTTACCTGATATACCCGTCAAACAGGTTGATCCATTGCTCGACATTCGTATCACTCCAGCTTCTGTATCTAAAGTGATTTCCTGCTTAGACTCTTCTACAGCTTGCGGCCCGGACAACATACCTGTTATAGTCTTGCAGAAGTGTTCTCCTGAGCTGTCGTCTATCTTTTCAAAACTATTCAACAAGTGCTTATCAGAGTCTTGTTTTCCAGCCTGCTGGAAAGCAGCATCTGTTATCCCTATTTTTAAAAATTCTGGAGTGCGATCTGACTCATCTAACTACCATCCCATTAGTCTTCTTCCTATCATAAGCAAGGTTTTTGAATCTTTAATCAACAAACACTTAATCTCTCATCTCGAATCTCATAACCTACTTTCTGATCATCAGTATGGATGAGTCTCCTACCCTTCATCTTCTAGGATTAACTCTTACTTCTGATCTTTCTTGGAAACCTTATATCAAATCCGTTGCAAAATTAGCATCTGCTAAAGTTGCTTCTCTTTATCGAGCTCGTCACTTTCTTACTCTGGATTCTATTCTCTATCTCTATAAATCTCATATCCGACCTTGTATGGAATACTGTTGCCATATCTGGGGAGGATCTTCTATTGATGCCCTTTCTCTTTTTGACAAGGTGCAAAAACGCATTGTAAACATAGTTGGACCTGCTCTTGCAGCCAACCTTCAACCTCTGTCACAAGGGCGAGGTATAAAAACCATTTAAAGATGGTACCCCAAATAAAAACTGGTTTTATAAGTATGTGCCATCATAAGGAATTATCGCAAATACGATGGTGCGCAATACCTAAATGATCCATCTTGAATTTTTAATTTAAACTGGTTTTGAGTTAGCACCAAAAACTGGAAAAGTAATTGGTATTAGAGGAAGAAATGAAGCAACAGCGGCTTGATGACCAGCGAATGCTTTTTTGAGTAGTTCACAAATGTGTTAGTGCCATATTTGAAATCTGTTAATACACAATTACCAATATAAATGTTCATGGATGGACATCACTTGCATCTGTCTAAAGAGCATGTATTGCTCTTTGGAAGGAATTCATTTGATTTCATTGCTTTCTAATGCTACACACATCTTACAACCATTAGATGTGTCAGTTTTCAGACCAATGAAAAAAAAAAACTAGAAGAAAATTTGTTGGCAATTTAAATTAGATAATAATTTTGATGAAATTCGCAAAGAAAATGTACCAATGTTGTTGAATAATTTTGTTATGGATCCAAATAAGAAAAAAAATATTATTAACGGATTTAGGTCAACAGGAATATTCCCATTTAATGCGAACAATATTGATTATAAAAAAGTAATTCAACGTATTAAATTGAATTCTGCAATTGATAATAATGAAACAAATCTTTCAAGCCATAATAATGTGGGAAACATATTTGAAAACAACGCTGCACCTGAAGTATTGTTCCAACTTAAAAAAACTGGAAATAAAGAATGGGGAGGAAAAACTGACTTCGGAGAATTATTTAATTTTTTGAAAAAACTGAAATTTAATGATAGTTCCAAACAAACCAGTAATTTAATAGGAGCCAACAATAATGTATTGATCAATGAAATCGATAAAGAATCGTGTTTAGATATTAGCAGTACGCAAAATGAAAATATATCTAGTTATGTTAGCAAATTCGGAAAGCGTAATAATTGAGGAATCTGGTGAAAGTAAACCAGCAACAGATCCACCACATTCAAATAAATGATTAATAAAAGATGTAAATCCATTACATGACTTTCTTTTATGGCCAAAACAACCAATCACAAAAAAAGGTTGAAACAAGTTGAATGATTACCGAGAGTTGTAACTTCATTCAACTGGTTAGAGATTCAAATAACTAAATAAAATGCAAAGGAAAAAGAAGATTTCAAAAAAAAAATTGAACGTAAAAATAAAGCTGCTGAAATCAAAGAATTCAAAGAAAAAGAAAAACAAAAAAAATCTAAAAGAAAACAAGCTATTATAAAAGTAAATAAAAGCCAAAAAAAAAAAAGCTTTGATGGATAATTTTAGAACTAATGTCTTCTTTGTTTTGTAATCATATTAAATTTATGTATTTGTTTCATGATTAAAAAAAAATAAAATTAAAATTAAAACATATGATTTATACACGATAGGTGGAGAATCGATTATCATAGGTGGTGCTTTATCATGTTAGGTGAAGAAACATACTAGATCTTTTTTGAAATGTTATTTTACTCAAATTTGAATGATATAAATTAGTTAATAATTGAGTATAAAATTAATTCGAAAACTTTGAATAAAAATCTGTTACGGTTTTGGAGTTAATAAGTTTTAAAGTTAAAAATTGCGACAGGAAGCCATGGTTATATATGCTATATATACAGAGATTATCTTTTTCCAGATATTTACGGAATTTCAGATATTTTTAGACATTTTTATTTTTTCCAGATATCCAAATAGTTTTATGGAAATACAAGTTAATATATATATATATATATATATATATATATATATATATATATATATATATATATATATATATATATATATATATATAAATATTTTTTTTGTTGTCATTTTGTTATCAAATAATCAAAACAGTAAAGGTTCATTAATTACTTTATGCTATATTTTACTTAGGTAAGGTTGTTTTTTT